ATCCAGATTAAACAACTACTCAGATTAAACAATAATCCAGATTAAACTAACATAATTCAGTTGAAAGAATAATACAGATTAAATAATAATCTAGATTAAACAATAATTCAGATTTAACAATAATTCAGATTAAACTAACAACTAAAACTAAACATAATTGACATAATAACAACATAACTATAACATAATTTAGATTAAACAATTAGATTAACGTAACATAACTCAGATTAAACTAACATAGTTCAGATTAAACAATTAAGATTAAACTAACATAATTAACTAAAGTTAAACATAACTGACATAATAATGCACATAACTAAAACTAACAATTTAGATTAAACAATCAGATTAATGTAACATGATTCAGATTAAACTAACATAGTTAAGATTAAATAATCATCTGACCAAACTAACATAATTCAGATTAAACTATCAGGATTCAGATTAAACAGTAATTTAGATTTTTAAAAATTCAGGTTAACCTAACATAATCCAGATTAAACTAACATGGATCAGATTAAACAATAATTCAGATTAAACAATAAGTGAGATTAAACTAACATAATTTAGATTACACAAACATCAGATTCATGATTCAGATTAAAAAATAATTTCAGATTAACCAAAAATAATTTAGATAAAACAGATTAATGTAACAATTCAGATTACACAATAATTCAGATTAACCTAATATAAATCAGATTATACAATCATCAGATTAAACTATAATTCAGATTATCGTAATAAGATTCCTATTAATTTCATTAAAATAATCTGTGCAGTGCATGATGTTGTGAAACATAAAACTAGTTTAATTAATCTCAGACTAAAAACAGACCAGATTATATGAAAATAAATTGATGTGCTTTATTTTGAAGGAACCATTTCTTCCTAAAAATGCTGTTTTCCTGCAACTTCCAGATTATTTACACAACAAGGAAACAAACTGAGGCTACAGTGAAAAATCTAATGAAGGAGTAAACGTCTGAAATGTGATCTGTAATAACCCGAAGGGATTAACGGATTAAGGTCCGTGGATTTGGGTTTCTGTGCTGGTTTCACAGGAGGAGATTAGCGAGTAAGACGACGAGCCGAAAAATAAAAAAGACCTTTAGCTGCGATCGGAGGGCAGCAGCTGTCAGAGACTAGCACAAAGTGTGACGCATGGATTGTCGCGGCCGTCTCGGCGGGCACTCGTCTCCATGGCGACAACCTTGGGAGTTTGTCGCGAGGAGAAAGTGGGGACACGGATCCGTCAGATTTATTTTTTATTTTTTTTTCGGTTCCCCTGCACCGCTGTGGTTTCGGCTGTGCGCGCATTTACCAGCTTCTGGTGGTGAACCTCGTACTCCGTGCTCTGCCTGTCCTCCGTCTCCATCCGCAGCTCGGGGATCGCCTCCACCTTCAGTCCGGTCACTGGGAAGGGAAGAACAACAAAGTATTACAGAGAAGTAGCCTCCGCAGCTGCACAACAAACCTTTTGACACATAATGGAGGCCAACCTGAATGTTTTAGTGAATCCAGATGAGTGGAGGGAGCAATTTTATTCACCACCAGGGGCGGAGCCAGGGGGTGGCCAACGATGACCCCCATAAATTAATCTTTGGCCCCCCCAGTCATCAGAGGAAACTATACTTCATTGTTTCCCCTAGGTCACTTGCCTTGGCAGGGCGTTCATCTCTTAGGTGACTTTTGTCCACCGGGGTGGGGGGGGAGATGCAGATGTTAGTGACGGTTGTCAACCGGAGTATGGGGGGTGGGGTGACAGAAGCAGAGCGCTACGTAGCTGTTTAGCTAGCGCATCTATTTCATGCCACTAGTTGTCGATGGGGGGTACGGAGATGGACACGGCTGTTCTGCGCGTTAGCTTAGCACTATGTTAGCGCCGACAGTTGTCAACCGGGGGGGTGACAGAAGAAGAAAGCTACATAGCTAGCGCGCCTGTATTGTGCGCCACTTATTGTTGATGGAGAGATGGAAATGTTTTGCTCACGTTAGCTTACTGCTACATTAGTGACAATTGTTGTCGACTGGGGGGTGGGGGGTGACAGAAGAAGAGCGCTAAGTAGCTGTTTAGCTAGCGCGTCTGTATTGCGCACCACGAGTTGTCGATGAGGTGATGGACAGATACAGAAGTTTTGCTCGCGTTAGCTTACTGCTACATTAGTGACAATAGTTGTCGACTGGGGGTGGGGGGATGGGTGACAGAAGAAGAGCGCTAAGTAGCTGTTTAGCTAGCGCGTTTGTATTGTGCGCCCCACTACTTGTTGATGGGGGGATGGAGACGGACATTTTGCACGTTAGCTTAACGCTACATTAGTGCCGACAGTTGTCGACTGGGGGAGTAAATGTGTGACAGAAGCAAAATGCTATGTAGCTGTTGCTAGCACATCTGTATTGCGCGCCGCTAATTGTCGACAGGGGCGGGTGTGAGCGGTGCGTCCTCCTTGGATAACGATAAGGGAAACACTAGTTTCTGCAAATGATCGAGGTGGCTGGATTATATATATATATATATATATATATATATATATATGGTAATGGCTATCTTAGATTTTGACGTGACAACCCAATTTTTGATAGGGATCTTTTTTACGTCTACATGAAGCCACGCACCAAAATGGACGCCCGCATGTTGCTTACTTTTCTTTTTATTTAGCTCATGAAACGAACGGACGGTAAGTCCAGTTCTCCTCTCTGCTACGACGGACAAATAAACAAAAACGATAAATAAAAAAAACGTCTGAACTTACCTGGCCGTGTGGGAACGCCTCTGTCAAGGTTGGGACGAGTGTCCATCAGCTCAACTGGAGAGCAAAGAAAAGACGGGATTAACAGACGCTGAGCTTCGTTTCTTTGTAACGAAGGCGTCGGCTGTTTGGTACCCTGGTTGAAGCTCTCGGGGTGGACGAAGCCGACTCCTCCCAGCGTGTCCTCCTGGGGCAGGAAGTCCGTCAGGCCGTCTCCCAGCTCCTGGTCGGGCATCAGAGCGTCGTTGCCGTAGCTCACCCTCACGTCCGACTGCAGGTTGGCCAGCTGCTGGGCCATCTCCGCCTGCTCCCGCTGCAGGAGCTCTGCAGGGACGAAAGGAACGCTCAGGAACCGTGGCTCTCCGAACTCATCCCGTCTTTTAAATTAAACGATGGTTTCACGTTCCTACTCTGGGAAAAGCACCTTTAAAAAAAAAAAAGGTGACATCTCTGACTGAACGGTGTTTACATTTCCTCGCGGACACCGATAAACTCAACCACCCCACAGGGAAGGGGTTTATCTTCCCAGCCAACGGTTTCATTCGACTCTGAACAAAAGAATTAGGCCGAACGGCTCCGATGTCCTTATCAGGCAACAAAAACATCTCGGGGCTGGAATCCAGAGCTTTTAATCTCTCTGCTGCACAGAGCACGAGTTCTTCACACCGACTGCCTCACATGCGGGTCAGCAGCCTCCTGCTGCTTTGGTTTTCCACTCGTGGCTACAAACCCTCGGCTGGCTCCGGTGTCCACGGACACCTTGAACGCCTCGCTGGAGCCCGCTTCTAAAGCTCCATCATCTGAAGGAACCATGCACCACAAGATGGAACGACTGCAGATCCGTCACCACGACCTTGCTCCTTTCAGCACTCGGTTCTCCGTCACCTCAGATCCATCACGGACCCCCTTCCTGGACCCCCTGCGGTGCCTACAGGGCCAGCAGATCTGTAGAGGACGCCATCAACATGGCCAGGATCTGGTTTTGTAGACTTCAGCTCTGCCTTCAACACAATCATCCCGGCTCTGCTACAGAACGTGACCAACTCCACCTGCAGGTGTCCTGTCTGACACCTCCCACCACGGGTCATCTGCTGCTCGAACTGCTCCCCTCTGGCAGGAAGCTGCAGTCCATGAAGACCAGAACCTCCTGCCACAGAAACGGCTTTGTTCCATCGGCTGCGTCCCTCACTATCTCCAAACTCTTCCTGATATTTATATTGTAGAGACACCAAACCAAACTAACAGCAATAAAATCTGAATTCTGAAGGTGTGGTTGATGTCTCCTAAAATGATTTATTATTTACTTTTCCATATCAGTTTACTGCAGTAACAGCTCAAACGTCCTCCGGTTACATTTCAGCTTCATTTCTGTGGTTCTGTTGCCTTAATCTGGACGTTTAGAAAGTCAAAGATTTTACTGTGTGGTCTAACAGTGGTGCTGGGAACTCACTGAAGAACCACAGAAGTTATTAATTGGATATTGCCTTGAAAGGCAGCCACTTATTATTATCCACCTGACAAGGATTTCTTAACTTTATTATGGGGGCCGAGATGGTGTAGAGGCAGGGCAGCCGGCTTGGGACCCGAAAGTCCCAGGTTCGATCCCCAGTCACTGCACATCACGTGGCGTCTCTGGGCAGCACGTCTCATCCCCAAAATGCCCCCCGGGCGCTTTCAATAGCTGCCCACTGCACCACCTGGTGGTGGATGGGTTAAATGCAGAGACTAATTTCGCCATTGTATGGAAACATACAGTGCTGACATTGTGATGACATTATTATTATTATTATATTGCCTTGAAAGGCAGCCGCCTATTATTATCCATCTGACAAGAG